AGCAGGAGGAGGAGCAGGAGGAGGCAAGACGAGCATCATCAAGTGGTGATGTTGACGATGATCGTGGTGATGCTGATCTGCAGGCGAGGCGATGTCCAAGGGCAAGCAACGAGCCTTCGCCTGATTTATTCCTCGGAAAAGCCTGACGAGTAGTACTGATACTGCCTAGACGATAAGGGGACGACATCCGTTCACATGTAACATTCTGCGACCTGCTTCAGTTTCATAGTTATCCTCATTCCTCTTGACTGCCCTCGCGGTTACAACGACGACTGCTGCCGTTGGCGCTAGCGATACAGCCATTGCTGATCAATGTGAATGCGGGTAGCACAGCGGCCGTGACTGGAGTTACTGCAACTGTTGCAGTTCCCAGGAGGACAATGAGACTCGTAACAGCTGAGCTTGCGGCCGTCCAGTAGATTGCAGCGATCGACCACGGGAGCCCGATGCCGAGAAACACGTTCACGGAGTTACTGGCACAAGATTGCAGGTCTCTGCTAACAGAGCATCAACGGAGCCCACAGTGCCTGGACGACTCCATGTGGGCTGTTTAGGGTTTAAAGTAGAGCAGTCTTGGCGCGTCAGGTGCATCACGGGTTCTCCGGCCCCCAAACCTCCCGCTTGCCTCCAGCAGCCGAGCACAACACTTAACTTCACCCCAACAAAGTAAAACTCACCCCCCCCCCCACCCCCCCGCACCCACACACCGCTTTGGAACTCGGATGGTGCTTCAGAAAGAAGTCCACGTCCCCTGCTAACACTTCTGACATTCGCAGGGCGGCACGCTGAGGCAAACTGCTTGGTGTTCTTATGCATCTGCAAGCGGTGCAAGCGACGGTACAAAGGATTCTGCCCTGCTTTGGCAGCATTGGTCTGGTGGGGCCAGCCTGCCAGTTACGTTCACGATGGATGCATCGGCATACCTGCTTGACTGCAGGTGAGAAGAGACATGTGAGGATATCCAGGTCATAGCAAAAGCGGTCTGAGTGAAACACTTATTGGACACTGCCGCGATCTTTGACGCAAACAAATCTGGGACCGACCTGAGGGGACGTTCGAAGCACTGGGAGCGTCAGGAGCACCATTGTGCACTTGAGCTTCCTGCGTGCCAAGTGCGACCACGGTGATAGCCGTAATGGAGTCCTTCCGGCGATCGACATGCTTCAAAGGACCCACGACATTTGGCACAGCACACAACCCCTCCTCCAGACCAGTCACACATCCGAAAAGCTCTGCGAAGTCGCAGATCGCCTGGGCTGTGTTAACGAGACCTCATACAGCACCGCCGGTGGTTGAAGTCAAGCTCTGAGCTTCCAGCACATGTTAACGCGCCAATACTACCTGATGTGTGGTATGTTGACGGCTCAGACATAGTTGTTGCAACCGCTCCCTTTGACGTGCTTGCTGACGAGCTTCCGATGGACATGACGAAGCAAATCCATCCCCCACAGTACGCAGGGGGTGGGATCAGCCTCAAGTGCCCACACGACGCAAGCACTGTGGAAGCAGTGAAACCTAATGCGCGAATGGGTCAGTATTTCTCTGATGTTGAACATGCACGGGTACCTAGACCATCTATCGCTGAGGTGCTGCTGTGAACAATTTTGGGCCACTCGTGCCAGCAGTTCGCAGCGCAATTTGCGGCGATTAGTCCCGGCAGGTTTGGCATAGCTCATTAACAAAGCACAACCGTGCTTCTAATGATGAAGTTGGCATGCTGACACATCAATTGTGTGCTCCCCAGCGGAGCCTACCTGTTCCTGAAACGATTTCTCTCCGGCTGCCAACTTCAACGACTCGTTTGCGCAGCTTTCAGGACCTTGAAAGCTGAAACTCTCTCCACTGCGGAGGCAGTGGCAAACCCTCGACCGAGGCTTTCAAAGCTGGTCGGAGCACCAACGAAGAACGCGCTTCTGGACGTCTCTGCTGATCCACACCTGCCAGGGCCAAATCCGGTCTCAACGATGTTACCTTCCTCGGGATAAGCTGCTGCCCAGAGACTCCGGGCTTGATCTCCAGCTCGACCTCATCTGCATCCCCGACATCTGTGATGATGGTCGGAATCCAGCGCATGTGGGACTCGGAGAAGTAAACGACTTTGTCTCCGATAAGTGGAATTCCTGAGCGACGTCTGGCAGAAAGTCTTCGGGAGAAGCCGCTCATGTCGACGATGTGTAACTATTTCAACAGCTTCTGGTGACATCGGATGGCATCGGAATGTTGGTTGCATGCACCGGAATCGCCTTCCAAGAATTGTACACTCGACTGTAAACAATCAGAAACATGATCCTCCAATTTGTTGCATTCACAAGATGGACACCATGCATACATGCATACATACATGGTGTATGAGACAGATATGGGACATGGAAAAAGGTCTGAATCAATATGCTGCGAACGATAATGCATCAAATTATCTCCCATCTGAAACGGTGCTGTGAGACGTATGAACTTTCATATACTATCGCAGAGCATGTCCCATACAGTACTAGTATAGCAGTGCGACCATGTTTGTCATGCCATTTCCCTTATGTACATGACCTTGTGCTGACTCCCATTAACGAGTATTCTCTTGCTACATGGGGGTCTACATAAGCCTACATATCCACAAACATTTAGGTCACATGTCAAACACGCTCTTATGTTCTGCATGCGTGCATAGACACCCGTGACCACGACTGAAGGTAGACAAGTTTCGAAGGCGTTCCTGCTGTAGTGCAGCTCCTCACCATCAAGTTCAAGCCAGCCGCATGGGCAGAACAGAGGTTTGACGACAAAAGGAAGAAGGCTGCTGCGTCAGCAAATGTTCTCGTGGCAGTTGTTGTAGGTGCAGCAGTAGTCACATTAGATGCACCAGTCGCAGACACAGCAGTAGCAGTAGTCGTCGTGGTACTAGTCGTAGCCGTCGTCGTAGTAGTAATTGTTGTATTAGAAGTCGAGAGTCGTCGCCGCGATCGAAGAATACAAGTACTGGGAGGGGTACTGGAATCAAGAATAGTGGTAGTGTTAGCATCACCATGGTAGTGGTGGCAGTGTCTGTAACACCCACCATGCTTGAGCTTCATCAGGTTTCATTCCCGGGCTTGCTACAGCAGCCGGTCGTGCTGAGGTGTGAGGAGGGCCTTGCTGCCTCGTTCCGTCCCTCTGTTTAGTTAACTTCCAGGCACCTTGTGCTGCGTCGTTTGAGTATGATTCTCTCCTTGCTATCATCTTGCAAAAGCTTGGGAAGAGAAATGCTCAATACCAACAAGCAGTTTCCCGCGCCACAGTCCAGAAAATTGTGGAGACAACAGCTGCTCCAAACCAATTACCCGACAATTTGCAAAAGGACCAAGTACGGTGGGGTCTTAGCATGATCAATGTGATTATCCCTGTGTCAGTGTCGAATTCCGCAACTCACTGAGAGCTTCAGTAGGTTCTTGAATTGCGTAACAAACTGCTGACACAATCTGAGATCGGCACGCAAATATGTAGCCTGTTGTGCCGGGGTGATCCAGGCACTAGGCAAAACGTCGATGACAGCACAGCCGCTCTGTGCATCCTGGCAGCAGTTTTCCAAGGAGATGGAGCTCCAGCGATGCTTTTTATGATAAGATAGCTGAGACCAACGTTCCTAGCTTGCAGAGACTCTTCGGCATGCTGCATTCAGGATCTTGCCTCGAGAACATCATGCCCCAGCCTTAAACTTCAAAGGACGTGCCTTTTTCTGCCAAAATCTCAAAGCACCTGTCTGCCCCCGAGCCTGCTGAAGTATTCTGCAGGGTATCCAAGCGGAGAGGTTCAAGGAGTAGTACTCAAGCTCCTCACCTGATCCCACACGGGGGTTATTCAAAATTGAGGTTGCTTTCAGGCTCACTGTCTTGATTCAAAAACAGAAACCCTTCGCAACAAAGGTACCAGCTGTAGGAAACCATAAACCACAACCTTAAACTTCACCCCATGCCCTACCCTCGTGCGCTCAGGCTGGGAGACTTTTGCCCTACTGGGGGGAGGCTTCAGGGAGGCTTCGTTGGATGTAACGATTTCGCAACACAAACTACTGAACAACAACACCTTCACGTCAGCAACAAAAATGTAGTTCTTCAAGCATAAGAACCACAACAATAATCCGTGTCTTGCTCATCAGCATCGTGCAACCACTCACCTCTACAGGCCACGAACGCTAACCTTAACCACAACATCCTCATCACCATCAGCATCACCAGCGTTACCATCCCTATCATTAATAATAATAATAATAATAACCACCATCATCATCATAATCATCATCACTTGGCGTCTCCGTGGCCCGGGCTTTGCAGATGCGACAGATCGAGATCCGCCAAGGAGGTGGATGGCGCCGCGTGCCCCTGCACCTTCGGGGGTTCGGAGGTGTCGTTGCGTTTCTTTTTTTTAACTGTGCTTCTTTGAATTGGATCTGGATTCTAACCCGAAGGCCCAGCGCTCATCTACGAAAAATTGCACCCCAAGGCCGTAGGCCTGACTGAGCGACTGGTAAGATCAAAGAAAGGTGAAGGTGATGATGATGATGACGATGATGATGATGACGGTGATGATGACGGTAACGGTGATGGTGATGATGCTGATGATGACGGTGGTGGTATGGTTATGCTACTACTACTACTACTGCTACTACTGCTACTAATGCTACCATTACTACTACGTCTACTGCTGCTGCTACTGCTACTGCTACTGCTACTGCTACTGCTACTGCTACTGCTACTACTACTACTACTACTACGACGACGACGACGACTACTACGACGACGTTTACTCCTGCTAGGCCGGCTGCGACTACTGCTGCTGCTGCTGCTGCGACTGCTGCTTCTTCTCCTGCTGCCGTTACTGGAATTATGTCCAGGACTTCTTGCTGCAAACGTTCTTGTTAAGTTCTTGTTGCACCAGTATCTTCGTCAGCGTTGTGCACGATGCTCGAATGGTTACCTTCATTATTGCAGCACCACAACACCCCAACCCCGGGCCTCACCAGAATCAAGCAAACCGGGGAGCCGCACATGGCCCTTCCTGAGCTGGAAAGCAAGGCGAAGGCCGGACAAAGAGGGGTGGGCTCTCGGCGACTTCAAGTATATAAGACTTTCCTTTAAAGGTACATGAGAGCTCGAGGTTGAGAGAGACAGAGGCGTTCGTGACAGGATCAGACCTGAAGCGAAGTGCCAGGAATCTGATGGTGCAGAGGTATCCAGCAGCCCGGCTTCACATCCAGTTGTATGGAGTTCCTCAGCTGCCCAACGACTCCCTGTCCTGTTCCTTGTTTTGTATGGCCCAATGCAGCTCGCTTGTTCCGAGCATCTCCTCGTCTATGCCCGTGACCCGGCTCGGAATCCAGCGACCGGCAGAGATGGACAAATACCTGTGCTGCCGTAGAGGCCATCCACTTGTCACTCATGATTTCTACGCGTGTGAAAACGTATGGGATACATGTATCTGTGTAAAACATGCGCACGCGTGTGTGTGTGTGTGCATAGACATATTATAATATGTACGTACATACACACATCCATCTGTCGATCAGACAATACTGCATTGGGAGATCCAAGAATTACAGCTTTAGTCACCTACCCTCGTCATTGTAGCAATATACAAAGCAACAGCGATGACAACACGACGAATGGTAGCAGCAATGGCAACACAGGGAGCCGCCCGGGCCATTGCAGGCCAGCAACTCCACGGGCTGTCCCACACAGAACTGGCCGTTGTCACTCTTCGCCCTTGGGTTGTCGGAAACTCATGGGGGCCGGAGCAAACGAAAGCAGTGTATGTTCTGCCAAAGCACCTGCCGGTTGATCCCAGCACCTGGCACAGAGTAGCTCCGAAGTTCTGCAGCCTCGAGCCTTCTACAGATTGAAGCCTGCTCAGTCCGAGACGCCATGCTAGGGGCAATTAACTTCTTGTTCTCATTGCTTTCTTGCAGAGAATACACTTAGAGTCTTTGTCCAGTCCTCCTAGTCAGTACTTTGGCAACAAACCCCCTCTGTCCCAAATCTGAAACCTAGCTGCCATGCTGTGGGACCCACCTTGCGTGTATCCTGTGTCGGCGACATCTCCGGGGAACGTTGCAATTCGCAGGCCCGGACACGCCGTGCTTGGTCCTGCCGGCACTTGAAGGAAAGAAACTGAGAAAAGTCTTGCTGATCACAGCGCCACCATGTACTTCTTTCCTCTCCCCGCCGACATCACCATCCGCGGCATCAGCATCAGCTGTCAGTGGCATCACCGCTGTTGCCACGTTACGTTACCAGCGACAACACCATCAGTGACAACATCAACGCTTGAGAAGAGGGCCACGAAATCTAGGGGAAGGAAGCGTAGGAGGGAAAGGGTGGGGCGACTCGTCAGGCGAATCTTTTGCCGTGCAGCACTGCGAATCACTCGAGCGTGACGGAGGCTTCGCATAAAATCATGTAGAATTGAAGATTGTCCTGGGTATGCCAACAAGCTTTCTGCCTCCTAGCGGGTCAAAGGACATTGTCGATGATGTGCTCAGCATAGTTGAGGGCTGTCTGTGCTAAACATTGCTAAATGCCGACAGTTGCTGCGAATTTCGCTTGCACAAGAAGCAGTAAGCTGGTTGAAGTTACCAGTAGTGCCCATCTTGCAGGGTCGAGACCAACACGATGCACCGCAACATGCTAGACAAGGGACCTTCAGGTAGGGGGGGGGGGGGCAAGGGGGGGGCAAGGCAAGGCCACTCCTCCTTCCGGAGTTTCTTGTTATTGCACCACCGGACATGCTCCTAGTTCTCTACCTGAAGTAAACTAGTGTTCGACAACTCCCGCAAGCTAGCTTCCGTGATATGCATCAACATTCCGTCGTCTGTCGCATGTTACAACATGTGCCACACATTGAAATTGACTCACACAGTGACGTGATGATGCACATTTCAGTTCGCCGATGCCTTGACTGAGCCTGTGGTTAGATCAGTTTCCAAGTACAGTAGCACCCTCAATCCGATCGAAGTCTGCAAGCAGCCATCACTGCATGTCCGAGATCTAGCCGCTAGCCTCCGTTGTCAGCCAGGTGTTCGGCTTGACATTGACCATGATGGCAGCGTCACCGCGCACATTGATGACTTCGCCTTGGGGTGCGCAGAGCATGTACGGTCCAGGCAGTACGAGTAGTTGATGTCCTCAAGGCACAGCTGAGCCCAGCACATGGTATCCATCTACTGGCAGTCTTGGACCAAAACTCGAGCTGCTGTCCCACGTAGGCCCTGCAAAATAGCGATAGGTTTTGAGAGGCTAGCTGAGTTTAGCTATGTTTAGCTGCTAGCATGCCGTCTGGCTTGCCTCACACTGTCGGGGTCCCCAGCATTCTCCTCCACGGCTGGGTTCGGATCCTGAAGCAGAGACCGCCAACGAGGAGCTCAAGCAGAAAGCGCTGCAAAGCTGAGCGAACGGCCAGAGCCGGTGGAAGGATGTCGTCAAAGGGGCACACGGGCTTCGCGGTGCTCGACAGGTTCATGAGTGCTTGTCCTGCGGCTAGGCTACGCAAACCTGGTAGTTATACAGCAAAACAGAAATGGACTTCCCGAGCTTCGGAACCGGCAGCTGCCGCACACAGATACATTAAACAGACACGATGATACGATGATACAGCAGCACCGCTAAACAGATATGACGAGATGTACTTCCTTCTATGTGTCTGTCCGGCCTGGCAGGGATCTGGCTTCACTGTCACTAGAGTCGACCTCGCCCGTCAGCCTTTCCGTGAGAACCTGGCCGGAAATCACGGAATTGCAGGGCAACCACCCCACTCTCGGCAGCTCCTGGTGCATGTGGAAGAACCATTATCAAACAAGTAATACTGTAAGTGTGGTTGTGGAGAAACAGAGCAAACACTGCTCTTCAACAAAAACCAAACCAACGGACTGTGCTGCCGCGTGGGGGTTTTACGATCGACTCCGCGAAAATCGTGCCTCTTGCTGCACCTCCTGCTGTGTCAAGCTGTCCAAATCCAGCACCTCCACATCAGAACATGGCCCTTAAACAAGCTAGGTGATCATGCGTGGGACTACCCGATAGTATATGCCAGCGCATTATCGCATGGAACTGCATCGAGAAAAAGCATTTGCAGATGTTTAATCCGAGAGTGCCGTCGGGAGTCCTGCTCCATCACCTGCCTTGGCCAAAGCTGGCTGGGGAGGACAGGCTCGTCCTAGTGGCAGTGCACTTAGCAGCAGCGGAGTGGTCGTGGATTATCTTTAAAACAACGCCACCCAAACCCTGGCATCTGCAGGCTCCTCTTGGATGTGCTTCTCTCGGAAGACTTGGCTTGGGGTCAGTCCCTTCGGCAGCTCCTCGCAAAGGGAACCGGAAGCCATGCTCAGGCACATGCTCTGAAGCAGCAGGCCGTCCTGCCCAATCACGCTCTTCTCACTGGCACCACGGCTGATGCTCTCGGAATTTTCCTCAACTGCCCTTCACGTGCTACGGCATGCACTAGCCTCGAATGGGATGTACTGAGCGTCAGCTAGTAATCAGAGACAAATGGACTTCGACCACCGTGCTGGGGCTCAGGCGTAGCCCATAGCAGGTTTGCTCTGCGCCGGCGGCGACAAGTGGGACAAGTCCTTCTGCAGTGGGCACAACAATCACTGGTCAATCGGAGTATGCAATCCAAACAATCAAAAGTGTTCCGAAGGCGGTGCTGCTGACAAAGCTAAGATGACATTTCCACGTATCCGCTCCAAAGTCTTAAACCCCGGGTCCTCCTCTACTCGCTTCTTCTCGGGCTTCGAAGTCATGGCAGAGCCTGGCAGTTGACTGCGACTCCGGGACAGGGCAATGCCCCAAGATGCACATCATCCTCTTATGATCTCTTGTGCCTACGTGGTAAACACTCACAACTGCCTCACGAAGGACTGTGGTGTTGAGTCAAGGCAGCCGATGCCGACCTCAAAATTTAAAACCCTGCTGTGCGCCTGAATATCCGATCGGCAGATTTCAACTCGAAGTAACCACCAAACCCGGCCTACCGCAGCGGTGAATGCCGAGAACTGCCTCTGCAGATCCTTCAGCCTCGGAAGACTCGAGCACCAAGCGGTCTCAGCCCCGCGGCAACAAAGTATTCAACCATTCCTTAAAGTCATGTTTGCATTTTGGCGGCAATGCACCTGAGAAGCTGGCCAGGTGCCGGCAGAAGGCAAGGTCTGTGGAATACGGGTAGCAATCGACGACTGCGAAGAACCTCGTGGAATTCCTGCCACGCATTGCGCGAGGTTCTGGAGGTAAGCTGATGTGTGCAGAACTTGCTGCATCTAGCGGGCTAGCCATACACTGTGAGAGAGCACTGAGTAGCCATGACAGCAAGATGCGCACTGGACTCCCGATGCCTCAGATCCACGATGCTTACAGCAGCAATTCTCAGTCTCATGGCAGCAGGGATCAAGAAGCGACATGGTCATGAGTAAATCAGTCCTTGCAGCAGCGGATCTTCCTCCGGAATTTGCCTTGTGGCTTTCCCATCGGCAAGCACCGGAGACGATCGGTTCAACATGGCATTTGAGTTTCATCCGGAACTAGACATATCCTTTCTTCTTCAAAAACCGGGACCAAAAAGTTCAAAACATTCTCAAACAAACCCGCCCTAAACATGATAAGGACAAAAAGTCTAAAGTTCTCCCGTTGGCTAAGTGAGTATCTATCCACTTCACAAGCAGCCATGAAGTTGCAAAAGCTGTCGGGACTTTCTTCCATGACTGGCCTGCCAAGATCAGGGCCCTCAACATCCGCAGGGCTCCAGGAGGCACACAACTCACAAACACTACAGTCAAGCCTACCCTCTGAAACTCGACAAAGCCCTACACCCTGAAACCTTAGGCCCGAAAAGTCCAAGCAAACAGTTCCGCTAGATTTTCCTGAGACTTCGGCTCGGGATTCAGGTTCTGCGTCTGCCGCTGGTAGGCCACAAACTTCCGCATCCGCTCCAACCTCCGAGCTTCAAGCGATCTGAAGATTATCCAAACAGGGAGCTATTCAGGCTAAGTTTGCCTACACAGAGACAGAGAGAGAGGGAGAGAGAGATGGCTCTACATGATGATATCAGGAGGCGATGGTCACCCTAAGTTGCAAACCTGCAAACCCTCCACTGGATTGCAAAAACAAGGACTTGACAAAAACATACATGGACTTTCCGGCTTTGGCGATGTGCGTGTGGCGCGTTTAGAGCATGGCTGAAGGCCCGTGCGTTTTTCTAAGGCTGAGGCTTTTGAGTTGTTCTGCTCACTCCTTGGTTCCTTCCAGCCTAAACCCTGAATCTTAAACCGTGACGACTTCGGGGGTTCAGGGTCCGAGTTTGAAGGGATAGGATCTGCGGTGAGCTTGCTGCTTGCGAGGTTGCCGAGCTTGACTGATGAGCTTGCAAGACCGCTTGAAGGCACAACTATGATGTACTATGAAATACCACAACACAATATGATGTACTGTTGATTACACCCTGCGAAATCGAAACCTTTGCCAAACCCCGCCGGGTGCCAAGCGCTTTCTGCAGTTGAACTGGCTCCTTTGGCGGCTCCTGGCTGTAGCCATCTGCACACTCTTTGGGATCTACAGTAGGGTTTTTTCCAGAGAGTGCGATGTGCCTTGATCGTCGCACGCAAGTCGCCACATACAATTAAACTGACGGCGCTTTCACTGGCACTGCCTCGCCAGAAGTGTCCAATCCACCGGCTGCCATTCATACTGAATTGGTTTTGCCAGTCCCACTATGGCCTGCACGTCGGATCGAAGCACCGAGGTCGCCACATACGATTGGGGCCTCGTGGACTGGCGGTGCTTTCACTGGATCTGCCTTGCCCAGAGTATCCAATCCACCGGCTGCCATTGCTGTTGGATTGGTTTTGCCTGTCCCACTATGGTACGACTGCGGCCTTGAGCGCTGGCGGTGCTTTCACTGGGACTGCTCCCCGGGTGGTGAAGGACGTGTCAGACCCGAGCGCTGGCGGTGCTTTCACTGGGACTGCTCCCCGGGTGGTGAAGGACGTGTCAAACCCGAGCGCTGGCGGTGCTTTCACTGGGAGTGCTCTCCAAGTGGTGAAGGACGTGTCAGACCCGAGCGCTGGCGGTGCTTTCAATGGGACTGCTCCCCAGGTGGTGAAGGATGTGTCAGACCCGAGCGCTGGCGGTGCTTTCACTGGGCCTGCTCCCCAGGTGGTGAAGGACGTGTCAGACCCGCCTGGCAGGGAATCTCCTTGAATGCATCTGAAGAGTTGGCTGGCCGGTGCCTTGTCTGGCGAGGTTTGCGACTCGCTGCTGAGGATGACAGAGGTGGCGGAGCTAAAGCCTCCGGCCTTGGCCCTGCTTCGCTCAGTGAGGCAGGCTTTCCTGGTGTACCCGGGAAGGCTGGCGAAAACGGACAGACTCCGCGCGCTGCCTTTCCATCTTCTGCGGTGCTTGGCCATCGGAGCTGCCGTGGGTATTTGGAAGATCGCCCTCGTCTGACAGCTTGCGCGCAGTCCGGCTCCTTCCGCACGGGGAGGAGTGGATGGAGTCACTGGTGGACTCGCTCCAATAGCCTTCGTCGCTTTCCACCGCCACAACTGCAATCCAGCAGGACCCGGGTCAACATCTCGGGCTGTTGATTCAGCGTCGGAGCCGATAGGCTCAGATTTGATGGAAGGGATCGACAGCGTTCTCTCGTCGAAAATGTGGTGGTCGGCATCCTTTGGCTTGGCCAAGGATTCGACGTCTTGCGTCTCGCATGCCCCGCCAACGTACCAATCTGCCAAGTCATTCCTGTTCAAAAAGGCCTTGGCTGCAGCACCGTTCCAAGGCAGGGCTCCTGAAGTTGCACGAGCTGTCGTTGCTCGTGGAGGGAGCGCTCCCTCTCTTTCCAAAGCTCCCGCTCGAGATCCTCCAGCTTGAGCGTCAAAGCGTCATTGCGCTTTATCAGCCCCATGCACTCCCGGCACAGGCTTTCCTTGTCGCGCAGCAACTCTGCCATCTCGGCTCCATGTCTCCCCGCATGGCGACGCACTTCTCGAGCTCCGTCCGCAGCTGAGCGTGGTCATCGGGCAGGGTGTCAGCTTCGCTGCCGGCGCCGTTGATGCCGTGACTGTCAGTGCTCTTTCGGTGCTGTTTCGCTTCGTCAAGGCCGACGCTCACGTGCAGGCTGTGGCATTGTCCCTGTTTCTGGGCGTCATCTTGTCCTCCAGGTGCCGCCTCGTAGTCAGTGCGAGGCTGTTCGTACTCCACGGTCGCCTGAAGGTGCTGAAAGTGCAGCGCGGCAATCAGGACAAAGAAAAGATCGCCTCCGTATGTCCGGACAGTCGACATCTGGGTGCACGGATGACACCCAGGTTTCGACCTTCGCCGGCCCATGGCTGCTGAAGAAGGAATTCGGGTTTATGGCATGGGTTCTGGATTTCGGATCCTGTGGCATGCAAGCTTTACACCTTGGAGCCCCGTGGCTGTGGTTCGCAAACAGGATAAACTACCACGCTAGTTCATGCCAACATGACCAACAAGTATGAAATCACATTCGCAACCGGTGTCCTGGATCCAGGAGTGTTTGAGAGCCCCCGCGGCCGTAATCCGTTCCTGGCAAAACCCACAGGTCCGACACATACCTACCAGGAATGCGTGAATCTCATCTTGATTTCTTAGATGGGGCAAAGAAAGGGAGACACACGGCAGGGTCGTCCGAACTCCTCAGCTTCGAAAAAAAAGAGGAGTCGGAGAGCCTTCACCTTCATCTTCAACAGCATGCGGATCAGCGATTTCGCATCCTGCAGTTCTTTCAAACGTACAACCTCAACAAACCCCCGAAGCCTCAACGATGGAGAGGAGCACGGAAAGGAAGCCGTAGCTCACACCTGGCCTGTGAGACCAAGGTCCAGTCCGATGACGGAAAAGAGTAGTTCCCCCTGGCCAGCAGCTTGCACATGCACTTGTCCCCAAGCAGGTTCATGGCAACCGGCCTTCGGATCGCATTCATGACTGCTGCGTCGGTGTCTCCGCGGAAGGGCGGATAACCACAAAGAAGAATGTATAGCAGCACCTGTACGGCTCAGCGACATAACGACGTTCTTTCGAGCGCAGTTTTTAGATTCAAGTCATGTCCTTTTGAATGAACGAGGTGTGGCAAAACAAAACTGCAAGCTCACCATGTCGTTGAGAACACGGCACTCGGGATCGCGTGGAGTGGAGCCTGAAAGGATACTCTGTTATAGCTCAGGCACTCCGCAGCTCCACAGGTCAATGGAGTGGTCATACTTGCACTCCAGAACCTGCCGTGTGCATGCAACGAACACAGCCAACGTGCTTGCCTAAGTGTCTCCATGCATCGCTGTCCCTGCGCCTGTGGTGCAACGTAGATGGCCGTACCGGCACACTGTCGCATGGCTTCCCCGCGAGTAAAGCAGCACGCCAAGCCGAAGTCCACTATCTTCCTCGGTGTCTCTGCGCAGCTCTCACATTCAGTCGCTCCATCGTGAGCCTCTCCCGAACTTGTAGGATCGAATAGGGGTATACAAGAAGTCGTGCCAGCTTTGAATGAATGTTGACCTCTGTCCCTCATCTTCCTCTTGTGGAGAATAGCTTCTTGAGTCCCGGTACTGCGAACTGTTCGACCATCATTGGTGTTGTGTTCGGTTTGACGAATCTTTGAAGTGGTTTACAGAGCAATACAGATAAGCGGATTGCGATTTTGTTACTGTGATAGTTGTGCCAGTCGGATCTTTTCTCAGGGCTGCTGCTGAACGGCCGATACTGACAGGTACCGTGTGTCGTGCCTTTTCCATGCAGATTGTCTCATGATCATGCAGCGACATTAAGCTTGTACGTAGGTATCTCAGTACTGAACTGCTGCTGATGATGCGAGGCGGCTGCTGCTGTTCTTTTTTGATTTTGCCGCTGTCATTGGCGGCATCGGTCTTGGCGGGGTTGTCGATGTCTCTTCTGTTTTGTTGTTTGGTTGTTGCTGTCATTGTCTTTGTCTTCTCTATGTTGTGTTGTTGCTGTTGCTGTTGCCAGATAACGCTATGTGTTTGACACGACTGGCAGACAAGGGTCACCACATTGTCCTCGATCTGGGCTTGGCTGAGAAGCAGAGTGTTGGCATGCTTGATGTCCCGGTGGCAGATGCCAACCGAGTGCAGGTAGAGCACGGCCTGGAATACCTGCTCGACCGGGAGTTGTGATGGGCCTTATGGGAAACGAATCACGGCAACAGAGCAACAACCATAGCTAGTCATAGCATCGATAGTTGCTAAGTTCACCATTGTCGCCAGTTACATCGATTTTGCTCTACTTGCTCCAATCTCGGCGCTCAAACCGATGTCCATCACTTGCACTTCTTGCTCCTCTGCTCCACTGAGACCTTCTATACTAGCAGCAACACCAGAAGATAGCAAAAACAAAATCTTTCGAACTTGGAAACCCCTCTGCCACCCTTTGGCTCCAGGGGCGGTTGCCACAGAGGCCCTACCCTCGCGCCTGGCGCATCACGATCACGGCCTGGGCTTCCGTGTGCCGGCCGCTTTCCAAGATGAAGCCTCCCAGGTGCAGGAATGAAGAGCAAGAGCGAGAGCAGCGATGGGAAGAGTGAGGGTAACAATAATGAGGACACGAATGGTAACACCGCAACAGTGCCAACGTTGCTGATACCGTCGCTGTAATTCTGATAACATTTCATGCCGCAAAGAACCAGCTTCATAGTTTTAGCTATTCCGATGGCAACGACACTCCAGAGCACAAAGATACATTGATCCGTCCCGAAACCTAGCAATTCACCACCAGAGCAGAGCTCCATGACGAGAAAGACGTTCTTCTCATCCTTCCAGCAAGACGGCTGAAGTAAAAGACTAAACCCTAAACCCTAAACCCTCATCAACTGATTCCGGGTGGACTTGGCAGAGACATTCAAAGGAGATCAAAGGAGCGAAAACGCACTTCGTCGAAACTCTCATGCTGCTGAGACCCTGGTCTTGATGAAGACCGAACTCCCATACCCCGACGGCTTTGGACTCACCAGGATGTTTTCTACCGTTTGCACTACCTTGTTCAGGGCTTCTCATCAAAAAAACGTCCTACGAATTGAAGTTCACATCAGGATCCGTTGTATTCTGAAACTCCCACATGTGGGTGTCCTCGAATGTTTCGTAGAGCAGCACCGTGTTCGGATGATCGAGTTTCCTGTCGGAAGCTCTGCTAGGCCACCATGGTCGATCTAGTCTGAATTCCACGTCTTCTTGAGCTTGAAGGTTTTCGAGAAGGTTTAAGACCTGCTGTTCCGTTGCAGGATCAAAGCTGGACTTGCCCGGCGCCTCATGATGAAAATCTCCTCCTTCAGTCTCTGGGCGTCCCTCCTCACAAGCCGGCCAACTCTCCCCGATCTGCCTGGAGACTTAAAGTTGACTTAAAGCCAAGCTTGGCCAGCTGATGCGCGAACGATAGCGATTGCTGGTCCCCCGCACCTGCGCATCTGCCCCAGCTGTTCTGGAGCTGTCTGCGGAGCTCGTTTCAAATCCAGCTTCGGCACCGCCTCTCTCAGATCTGGGCTTCGGGAATGGAACTCCCAGAAGCACTAGGGCCACAAGGGCTCACCGGCATGTTGTGTAACTTGACAGAGCTTTACTGCATCCGCATGTGACAGCATTGCAGCCAACCTGCCTTGATGGCCACCGTCTCGCCTGTGCCCTTGTGGGTGGCTCCGAAGACAAAGCCGAAGCCCCCAGCACCGATCTTGTCCCCCTTGCGGGTGTAGCTATCCCATACCTTGGCTCTCAGTCGGTGCTCACTTTCTTCCTCTCAGACTCTCAGGTCTTCCCGTGTCACTAGGCCGGTGGGCCCCCGACATCTGCATCAGTGCCGGTAACGGACCACCTTGCACTCTCTGCATCCTGGCGCGATGCCGCCATGGCCTACATCATGCTCCCCGCCCTAGATCATGCTCGCTGGTTAGATCCAGCAGTATCCCCTCACGACACTTCAATGAAAGCACAGAGAGGTCCTGCATCTGCAAGGAGGATCCAGCGGCATTGCTGGCGGCTACAACGCCTTCCTCCTGAACCTTCAACTCGTGCCGCCTCCTCGTTATACAGGCTAGAGGGGTAGAAGCCTTGGCAGCAGCCAGCTTGGCTGGACGAGTCTTCTGCAAAGGTAACCCGTACTTACTGACGATGAGCATCGCTCACTAGTGGTTGATGAGCTGCTGTGCGCCCGTTGGGGCAACTAACAACTTCAAGCCCCATTCAGTGCGCGAGGACATGCAGCTCACGAAGCTCTAGAGCCCGGCAGGACCAGAAGTGCATTGCACACCAAGATGTGTTGAAGCCAGCAAGCCAGTCGCTTCTGCCAGCCTCCTTCATGCCGCCCCTAGAAGCCACCAACCGCAGGCGAAGATCAAACACGCACTACTTGCCTACAATGCCCGCAACGCATGTCGAAAGTCCTTTACGAGTTCTCAAGCAAAGAGCTGCCTTGTAACCAGGACCGATTTTTTCTACATTGGGTGCTAAACTTGATGGCTGCCCTCGCACCAAGTACGCGGCAGAGCCAGGCACAGCTTCCAAGGCAGAGAGATGATGTGCATGATCCAGTCGGCACACGAAGCCCTGCGAACTGGGGGCATGGTCATTGGGCTAGTATAGTACAGTACAGAGTACAGAGTATACGGTATAGAGCATGTCGTCTTTCGCATTTCGTACATAGTAAAGCACTCCAGAAGTAGTGTAGAGATAGCACGGAGGAAAACGGGACAGGGTACAGGGTGTAGGGTAAAGCATGCAGTGCATTTAGACATACACATGTATATGCATGTATGTAGGTATGTATTTATTTATGTATGTACGCATGTACACATAAATATACAGACAGACAGTAAGATGAATACATAGATAGATAGATGGATGGATAGATAGATAGATGGAGAGAGAGATAGATAGACAGACAGATCGATAGACAGACAGATAGATAGATAGATGGACAGATGGATGGATAGATAGATAGACAGACAGATAGATAGATAGATAGGTAGATAGGTAGATAGGTAGGTAGGTAGGTAGATAGATAAGTAGATAGATCGATAGATGAATAGATAGATAGATAGACAGGCAGATAGATAGACAGATAGATAGGTAGATAGATAGATAGATAGCTAAGTAGATAGATGGATAGATAGATAGACAGGCAGACAGGCAGAGAGATAGAGAGACAGATACGTATGTACGCGTGTACTATGTATGCATATTTCTCTATATACATATACATACAGAGATGCATGTGTATACAGATGTATCTATGTGCGTGTGTAGGTACACATGCACAAACATGCAAAGTCTATGATTTTGTATCTGTGACTCATAACTTGTTTAACCCTTAGCCCGGGTGTCTGAAGTTTGCCTCTCGCCCTCCTCTGCCACGCTGCAGAAGGAGGCAAGAACTTCCTGCTCATGTGGGGGCTCAACGGTTTCGGTCTGAGGCTAGAGGGCTCGAGGCTGCTGTTGAAGGGCGGTATGCTTGCTGCTTTGGCAAAGGCACAGCAACTTTCCCCCACCGCACCTCGTACCATGACTGCGTTCCCAGTCGTAACTTGTCAATGTTGATGACCTTGTCCACGAACTGGCTCATCTGAATGGAGGCAATGTTCCTGCACACCAGTCTGACTGTCTGACTCACAAGAAGCAAGATGAACAGCCCAGGCCCGAACGCAATCAAACAACAAGGGGATATACTTTAAACGCTGCAGTAAGTCATGTTGTGGCGAATTTCAACGGGCCGCCCTGTGCTTGCAGCGTGTTACAATCCGCTTTAGTGGCACACAATTCTGTATGCTCACTTGCTGACTTACACAGTTGATGGAATCGACCATGCGATCCCATTGAAACGAGGGTGTCCCAAGTCACAACTGTTCACGCTGTATACTCCAAGGTTAGCGCCACACACAAATCTCTTCACGACGGTCGAGACTTATTGACGCCGGGTGGTTTTAACCGCCAAGTCTTCGAACCATCTGCACATGCGCGAGCAACAACGGCCGGGTTTTGCTTTGCCGTCCCAAAAGAGTTGCACGGCCCACACGACCTCCTCGGCCTGCCCGGAATTCCGGCCACAAACTTGCCCTCCCTTCAGAGACCGGGAACCCGTGTTACGGGCAGCGCCAGGTTTGGCACACATCCCAGATCCCTATGCTAGTGGAGGCATGGCTGGTGTCCGAGATGCCGCGATACACCAAACCCTCGCTCCAACTTAAGACAACAACCGCTCGAGAAGGCCACACGAACTTCAGCAGGAAGCCGGTACTAAGCATGGCACTGGTGAGCATGCTTTCGTGGCTCTGACCTATGACTCCTATCAAGAGGTCGATCGCTCCAGAGACAAGAACCAGCCAGGCCCGTCCCGAGATCCTTGTAAGCTCATCGTTCTCGTTAAAGATGGTGACCGTCAGGACGCACCTCCGAAGTCTCAAAGAAGGATTTCTCTAAGAAGACCGACTGAAAGAGCCTAAGATCCTAGCACAATTCGGCCTCAAAGACACAGAAGGCGTACATGAAAGCTGCTCTGCTCACTGCCCCCCCTTTTTGGAGGAGTCCCGAGCTCCCGGCCGATCTTCGGTTCCGTCCTGGTTCGGGTTGAAAATAGCACCACCCTCCGGCTCATCGAGGATCAGCTGAAACCTGGGCTCTCGAAGCTCAAAGGCCGAAGCGGCTGAAGGAGAAGCTTGGCGGTCCTTCATTCAGAGATCTTTTCACCATGATACCTGGGTCCTTGATACGTGTACATATCTATATATATATATCACTTTAAATAACGATGACTTTGCTGTTATCAAAAACTCACAAATCCATTCAAAACTGTGTCACAAAATGGGTGTTCGGAGCATAACGAGGCAAACTTCAAACAAGGCACAACCGCAAGAAACGAACTGTGTACTCGAGACTGTTCCACGAGATTCGACTGAATTGTGTTTATCTTTGACCCTCATGACGGACTAGCATCAAAAATTATCAACTTTTACAGAAATCACAGAATCCCAAACTCCAAAAAATTTGCAGAATCTTTGGATTCGCCATTGTTGTTGGAGTTGCTTGATTTCCATTGTCTTCTTTGGATGTTTTGATTAGAATCCAAACAAACCCTAAGAAATGTTGGATTTTGCTGGTGTCTCTGGTCAAAGCCATTCTATTCTCTCGGGTTTTTTGGTTTTTGTAACAATATTGTACGAAATCCAAAAATTGCCTAGGAAAAATTTGAATTTTGTTGGTGTGGCCGGTCGATATCAGTGTATTCCCCGGTGTTTTTTGGACTTAATTGCAAAATCAAAAAACCCTAGAGACTACATTGAACAAGACAATGGAAATCCAAACAATCACAAAAAATAAGAATCCAAAGATTCTGCAAATTCTTTGGACTTTTGGATTTGCCAGTGTCTCTGCTATTCGCACTGTTTGTATAAATCTATGTTTCATTCCTGAGGCTCTGAACATAAATTTCATACACGGAGCGTTTGCTCCTCACAAGCTCGCAGCAAGGACGTGAACTTAAGCCTGGAGGTGGGGATATGATCCTTGACCCGCGTTTTGATTTTCACACGTGAAGAAGACACTGTAGCAGACAAACTGAACAGAACATATATTCTGGATAGGTATCATTGATGTGACTGCATGTGTTTATGCTATGTGTCCAAAACCGTTGGTTTTCATGTGGAGTTTGTCATTACCAACAGGTTTGTTATTCAGGTTTTGTATCCATAATTACCAGCTATCTCAACTCCGAGTTCAATTCTACAGCGCATACAGCTTCAGGAGCATCTCCTTACAAAGCTCGAGAGAGCATACAGAGAAAAGATTTTTGCAACGTTATATATGGTGAAAAATATTCGGGGCTTGGCGGTTAATTTAGCAATGATAGAAAAACGACAGCGCAGGGTATATTTCATAAACGTGGTAAAATACACACCTTCCATCCGCTGACAAGCCACTATCTAGCATGCAAACATTATTCGCAATAGGCTTATTTGCTATTCAGTTTTTGTAACTTTAAGACCAGCTATGTATTGAACAAACATTTGCTGAAAAGTTGCATGAGCTTAGCCAACCTTCAATTTTTGTAGTTAACAATATAGCAACTGTAACGATAATTTATAGTAGCTAATTAGTTCCCAACTCAATCTGCTAGCTATTGACAACATGCCTTTTTACTAAGGAAATAACAATAGATTGCGATTACTGTATTCGTTAACGACTATGTCATGACATGTCAACTACATGATCCAAACATAATACAAGCGAGCACAGTGCATATAAATGAAACACCAAAAAGACAGAAATATTAACTAACTTGAACTACGCAGTAACCGCAGACTGGCGAGGTATCATTTAAGCACCAGTACATATTACTTACATGCACAGTATCTATCAGCTGTTAATGTTGTCGTTTACTTATGAGCTATCTTCTAACTATTGCTTGAATATCAATAACGCGTTAGGTATGTGACACGGTATGTGTGACATCATGAGATATTGGTCGAATCATATAACATGCCACGTATCAACAATTCACGGATATCAAACACCAAGCGATATTATTGATTAGTACTAAATATCTTTTGCAACCATAATTCGATATTGAAGAATGAACAAAATGAACGCTATCTAACAATTGCTGATATTGTCCTTCGCTTGTCGTCAGCCTCTTGCTTGTGGTCAGCTATCTTCTAGATATTTCCGTAACACCAAAGATATATTTATGAGATGTTGGTCGAGTAGCTCATGAATAGCAAATGCTAAGCCAGATTAATCGTTACGAAGCATGTCTCGTAATGGTAATTCGATGTTGAAGAAGTAATAACTACCAGCCGAGTCTTTCAGGCAATATTGTTCCGTAAGTCAATACATTGGGTTAGATTTCACTGCATCTCTGATAGACTGCTGACTAAGTAATGCTGCCTACGTAGCAACTTCATATGAAACCCCATATTGAGTGCTAGCTAAACACCAGACGAATATTGAAATAAAAGCTGTGAACATAAGAACCAGGTGTCGTTGAAGTATTAAACAAACT